ACACACACACACACACACACACACACACACACACACTAGAGCAGAGCTTGATGGTGAACTATTTCTTCAGTGGATTTTTATTTCCTTCTGTGCGAGATGTCTATTTAAAGTGCCTTAACCACATCATGAACAAGTACACATCTTCTCCATCACAAATGCCCCAAAGTAGCCCCAGGATTCTCCTAGATTTTTTTTTAATAGGTTTCTAATCAACAATTGCTAAAAGCTGAAAACAACTGCATTCCAGACAGTTATGGAGGAAGTGGGTGGCTAGAAGTGACACAGGGAGCTGGGAGCCTTTGTAAAAGCAGGCACTATTTTTAAACTCTTATGTGAAATATATTTACTCAGCTCAAAGAATATTCATTTCCCCCATACTGTGCTGTGCTCATTCACTATAAATGGAAAAACTTCAGGCATCATCTATCTACTTTTCCAGTTTCTGCTGTAGGACTGAATACATAGCTTCTGCATGGAAAGCAAGTTAAATCCCAGAAACTCTGTGGCGGTGGGTATCTTCCCCCTAATAACTCTACTTCCCTTGCTCTCTAGTGCTCTCTAGCACAGCTGCTGTCTCCAATGCTCACTACCAGTGACTAACTGTCACTTTAAAGGCACAACTCACCCTAACCATTGTTCCCTACTTAACAAAAGTGACAAAGCATGGTCATTYATCCATTTATCTCTTTCCTCTCTTGATCCTTCCTTCTTTTCCGCCCCCCCCCCCTTCCTTTTTTTTCCTCACTATGTTTTTATATGTGGTGGTAAAGGAACTGTGCCAAATAGCAGYTTGAAGTCCCACATCTGGCACAAGGGAAAAAACAAACAAAACAAAGCAAACAAACACACACAAAAAAAAACCCACACAAAACCCCCAACCAAAAGACCCCACCCTCACAAAACACACCACATCAGAACTCAAACATACAAGTAAACATTGAAAAGAACTTAAAAAAAAGAAAAACAAAAAAAGCAAACATAAAAAACCCAACAAAACAAAGGCAAACTGTCTAGAAGCCCTTTCTCTGACAAATGTACATTCATAGAAAGACCTTTCATTCCAAAAGGGGGGGGGGGGCAAAGCCTGCTTCTTCCCCAAACAGGCCATTTCCAAGGAATTTAGTGGACCACTCTCACTACCAAATCACAGGAGTCCTAGGCTCACCATTTTGCACTCGGGGAAAATGGAAGAGAGATAAAACAGAACATCCAATGGCTGGGACACAGAAACATCACGAATTTGGATAAYTACTATGTCACGAGCTTTCTTCACAAAACTACACATGTTACCACTATTACTTAGGTCACCTCAAACATGTCACATCTGACTGCCTTGTTTGAGATGAAAGACAGCGGGTGAATTGGATCACCTTCTCCAGGAGCTCCCTGCATATTGAGACAAGGGCACTTATTTTGTCTAAGCTCAGAAAGAAAAAGCCTGAGTTCAATTCACCCCATCTGTAAGTTGGCAGTAGAAATACTCCCCTCTCACACAGATGTGTCATCAAGAACCCCATGCATCAGAGATCCTGATGTACGGACACCATAAGCTCCACTTCCTGCTACAGCAAAGAGGCACCACAAGATATACAAGCCTGTGGAAGCACTGCTGGGAAAGGAAACTGGATAGGCAGTAGGAAACACCAACTGGAAACAACTGGAAACTGGAAACAACTAGGACGCCAGCTCTTATTAAATGTGATTGCTTATAAAGGACCCACATGTTGTTTGTGTCATCTGCAAGCAAAAGCATCACCCCTAGGAAGAGGTTGTGGCCTGAGCCCACCAAAGAAGAAAAAAATAATATATATATATATATATCTCGAAATCCAATCAGTTCCTATTTCCTCCTCACTGAGCCAGAGCCTTATCAATGCTATTAGCGCTATTTTTCTGTGTGAAATGCATTACTGATATTGACAGTACACGCTACTATGCAAGAAGATGAGTATTTGGATGAATTAGGAACAGAAGATCCTTCCCTTTTGCTGACACTACCCTTGTGCCATTTCTTCTCTGCATAAATTATGCCCAGCATCTAGCAAGTTAGCCAGCGAGAGATATCAGAGCCAGAGCAAGAAGCACAATTGCATCATTATTTGCAAGTCAGGTCTCTGCAATCCATAAAATTCAGACTTTCTTCTCCTTATTTCAAGTTAGGTCCTTTAGGCCAAACTGAGCATGGATTTGAACTAGGAGAAGCAAAGACAAATAGGTCTCAGCTGCTTTATCACTATTATCATAACAAAGTTTTATATGTAGGAACTGAGGGTCTTCAATTAAATGCCAAACATCATCTTGGCACCAGGAACATGAACTGCAGTTGGCTATAGGAAAAACAAATCTGACAGCTTTGCTCTGTTTGTCAAAATAGAGCCTCAATCAGCTGTTCAGGCAAATGAATCGCCATTTGCCAAACAAAAAATTACCAGAATCTATTCACCCAAACTTGCAGCAGCAATTAATGAATAAGGACAGCAAAAGAGAAAAGACATCAGTGCAATTTTAAAAATTCTGTTCAGTAGTTTCAAAGATCAACTTCTTTGCTTCTAACAGTGAAGCAGAAGAAGATCCAGAAAAGATTCTTTTTTCTCTTTTTTTTTTTTTTGATTAAATGATATCATTAAGGCTTCTTCCCATTCAGTCAGTTTTCAACCTCCTCTCCCAATTAAACAAAAGAAATAGCCTGAGATTAGTTCCCTTTCAGGCAAGTCATGAACTGTTGCTGCCTTTTGGAATCAACGCCAGAAAGCCTGCCACATGAATTTTTAAAAGTCTACCCYATTGTTTCAGTGTATTGATTTCCTGTTTGTATGGGGAAACGTATAGACAGAGACACCCCCAGCTTGTTAGTCTCACAGAGCTATCACAGGAACACAGCTACATCACTAACTACTTAGCTGGAAACTGGAGTCTATGTAGTGAGATCCTTTAATCCAGCTACTACTGCTGTGTGAGTGTTGCTCTTGCACAGACACAAAAACAAATAACCTCACACCACTACCCATTTTAGGTAGTCTGCAGCAGTGCAGAATACTAAAAATTGTTAGTAATAATGAAGATTAAAAAAAAAAAAAAAGGAAATTTAGTTTCCAGAAAAGCAGACTAATTCAGACAGCAGTAACTTYTCCCAAGCATCTGATGCAGCTGACAGAGTCGCCTGCCCACTCTGACTCATGTGGGAAGTTGTTGGACTCCTTGAGCTTCCCAGAGCACAGTCCTCTGTGAACACTGGGAGCTGCACTGCATGCCTCTGCAACTGTGGCTGCAAGCAGAGGTAAGACACAAGGAGAGCAACTCCAACCAGCATTGCTGGGCACACTAGCGTGCCTTCACATGTACTCCAAAACACTGAATAACTACAGCTGGTTCTCTGATGAATTAAATTCATTTTAAGTGAGGTTTTGAGATCTAAGCTGGAAATTAAACTTAGGCATGCCAAGAAACAGCTCTGGTGTTTGGCACACCGAAGTTATAAGTGGTGGTGAACAGTGGGAATCACGAAGAGACTGTAACACCAGGATTGTGCTTTGATGTGCACAGCCTAGACAGGAAAATAATCTGCACAAGGCAGGCAGAGAGAAGTCTCCTTTGGTCAGGTTGGTAGGAACAGCAGGGCCCAGAGCAGAAACCAAGGTCACTTGCTGCTCATGCACGTGTCACTCCACTCAGCTGTGCCCCAGGCCAGTCTTGCAGATATCCTGCACAGGGTTGCCAATTCATCACTTTGTCAGATATGAGTGCTCCATCCATTTTTATTTATATACATGCATATGTGTGTATAGTTTATACGTACACATGATGTACGTATGTACATGATGTGATGTGACCAAATAAATTCTTGAAACTTCTTCATAAAATATTCCCATAAGACCTTGGAACAGCAAGTTCACAGGTAAGGTCAAGTATAAGCAATTAGCTATTATTAAAAGGAAGAGTGAATGAGAAATTGCTCTTAAAAAAATAAAAAACACTACCTTTCTACCATGAAAATTTTGTTTGGATGTTCACTGGTTTAAACAGCCTTTCTTGCTTTTCACTCCCATCTCCTCCCTCAACTTCCATCTCCAAACAGAAAATAACATACATAAAGAGTTATTTTCCAGAATTGTGATTTATGAAGTTTTAACCACAAATTAAAGCAGCACCTCTAAACATACAGAATTTTAAAACAGATGCAGCATCTCTTCTGTCCCACGGTGCTTAAACAAAGTTGTTGGCCTTTGTTAACTTTTTAATTAAAAAAAAWTTTTTTTGAGGGTGTGGGGAGATGTTGGCATTCATCCAAGCCTTAACAGAAAAGAGAAAGCCTGAGATTTATATTAGACAAAATCATAAATCTTCATCCACCCTTTGCAGAGCTCTAATGTTAATGCTAAAAATAACCGCAGCACTTGCGGGATTTCAGCATTTGGATTAATCAAGTCTTGTGGTGCTAGAGGGGAAAAAACACTACAGGAACAAAGCTCTGAAGGATTTCAGGGCCAGTGTTCAGACAAGGACACTGCATCCATAGAACAAGTTGCCATTTGTTTCTGGTTCAAGCAGATGTTCTATGAGGATTACAGYAGGGGAAAGAAGGAAAAAAACCTTGCAGGCACAAAAGCACATGGAAATTTGGGTCAGGCTAGTGCAAAGCTGTCGGCCTTTCCCACCTGCAGTATTAAAGCTTAATTAGTCCAAGATCTCCTCTTAAAGATCATGAGCCAGGGCGGCATATCTAGGAATCATGTCTTTAGTAATAACTTTCTACTGCATCCTTCCAGCTGCCCAGCCCTGGTTTACCACTACGCAACTTCCACAGATGTGGCRAACTTTACAATTGCTAAAGTACAGGACCCAGCACCTGAGAAATGCAGAAGTCATCATGATGCTGCACACAAAAACAAATACTACGGGTTCAAGATGGAAAAGAACTAACTAGTTGTCTCATCTAGCTGCTATGGTCCCCATTTTATGCTGTATTTTATGCTGTTACTCTATTAACTTTGCAGCAAAACACGGTAGCTAAGCTTCTGGTGTCTCCTTGGGAGGGAGATTCTTACAACTTCGATGCTTGGGAATTTTCAAAATGTTTAGTACTAATGTGTTTTTCCTTAAAGCTCTGAAAAGTTTTTTTTATACAAACCACTAGACTCAGTTCTACTGATATGCTTTGTATTTACAAATATGCCTTGTCTTAGAAGCTAGATCCCCTTTTCCTGGTTGCTTATAAATAGCAATACCAGTTTGTGGCTCTTCACTGTAGCTCCCTCCCCTCAAGGCCTCAATGAAATCTCCAAGCCACATTGTCTGATATTTCCATTATTGTTCTTTGGTTAAGAAATTAGGCAACTTACATTCGCTGTAACCAACAGCAACTCTTAACTGCAACRCCAAACAGGGGATTGAGAGTTCTGCATGTTGAACTTTCCTCTCACTTCCAGAAGAATCTTCCAGGCAGTTTTGCCCCATTTATTCCCCTAACCACTTTCCTTCTCACAGAGATTTCTAGTCTATTTTCCAACATTAGATGAAAAGCTGAGAACAGCTTCCTTGATTTTCCCATGTTGGTCCAGTATGACCTTAGTTATAGCCTGGCATGGTCTGGATTTTTCATGTGATGCTTTGTCAGAGTCATTTCTTAATGGAAGCTGGCCCTTAACTTAAATACTGTGGCTAAAGTTCATTAGGCAGTTGCCCACAGCTCAGAGGGAGTGGGAAAAAACAAAACAAGACAAAAAACCCCACACAATTATCAGCTCCATGTTCATAGTCTGAAAATTAATGGGGGGGAAAAAAAATGTGACTTATGATCAGCCATATTAGAATCCTGGCTTCTGAGTCTTTTGATTGGCAGGCTTAATTAGAGCTTAATGCAATGTTCAGATAGGCATTAACAATACACTATGCTTAAATCAAGGCAAATGAAAGGCAAGAGCAAGCAAGTGAGCTTTCAAACATGGAATCACTTCAGTAACTTACTTTGAGTCTGTGAATTTGAACTTTAGCCTTTCCATCATCCACAGCATGACTACATTCAGTTCAACAGGTTCTCTATTCTACGAGGAATGAGAGCAGAGGTCACTAGACAGCACTTATTTTAACTCTACAAAGCACAACAAGGATTATCATTAAACAATGGGAGGCAGCAATTTTTCAGCTTATTCTAGCAGCCAAGTTGCGGCAGAACTATGAATACATTAGCCTGCCCTTATGGGACTGGTTTTGTTCAGTCAAAAGGATTAAGAAAGAAGGGAGAGGGGGAAAAAAAAAAAAAAAAAAAAAAAAAAAAAGAAGAGCTGCCAAGTGAACCAGTAAACTTTTGGGAATGAAAACTAAATGCAACTGCACAGGCTGACTCATTCACCTCTGTCTCACTGCTTCACTGCATCCATGTTCACTGACATAGGGCCACAAGACATGTCCAGGGATGCTCCAGAGCCACCACTGCGGTCAGTGGCTCAGGCACTTGTTGGAAGCACTTAGTCCTTTGAGGTACAGGTAAGCAGAAGAGGTGGTTGAGGTCAGCTTACATTTGCTCTAGAACTCAAGACTGAGTGCCTGATTAATGAATACTCTGCATTTAGATTTTCATTTATAAAAGAGCAAAGAGAGATTTAGAAAGTACTAATTAAGGAAGCAATCAAAGATATATGCTTCAGTAGAGCACGTGAAGTGTAGGACACATATAGAATACCAGAAATGCCTGAAATGTTTGCTTCCTTTTTCAACTACTCCCTCTCAAGCCCAGTCCCAACCCCTGCCAAAAAAAAAAAAGTTATCCTTCCTCACCAGCTTCTTCACAAAGAGTTTAGGTAGGCTCTTATAGAGGTTCCTCCCCTTCTYCCCCACCCAAGACTGTTTTCCAGTTTTATCTACAGCATCTAACAGAATAGAATCTGAAATATTYGCTGACACCTTGCTAGAAGGGGACTTAGATAACTAACTCCTGATTCAAATGCCTACATCCAAAATGCAAAACCTCAAAAGCCCCACCTAATCCTAAAGGCATTTGAGTTCATTTGAGCTTCTGCCAAGAAAATACCATATATATATATATATATGTATATATACAAGGGGGGGTGCGCATATATATATATTATGTATATATATAAAAATAAAAAAGGGGGGGTGTATATATCCCTCCCCCCCSACTCTTTCTCTCTCCTTCTTCCCTGGCACAGCATGTACAAAGACTACCTAAATCTCAACAGCAAAACAGACTGGCACCAACATCACACATTGTTCCCCATGTAATTCACCCACTGAAGCATTCTTCTGCTTTTAGCACAGGCAGGCTGAATTTAAAACAAAATGAAACAAGGCTTCATCATTTTGGAAGCATTGCTCAAATATGACCCTCTTACCTTGCATTGCCAGAACTCTGAGTAGAAAAACCTAGCCTCAATGATGCTGTCTATCTGATAAGCTTGAAGCTATAACCTCCATATCTCAGAGAAGTACTCCAGGTCTGGGTCTGCAGGGCCTTCTAGGGTGGGCCTCTGGATCTCTTACTGAAGCTCTTCAGCTCTGCAGTCAGAACACAAAAAAAGATTCATAAATTAATCTTGGGCTGAAAATGGAGCTCTTCTTGGCATGCAAGATACMAAATAAAGACTAAACAATACGCTTCTCCTAAGCATTTCTGACTGTAGTCCTCAAGTTCCATATTCTGGTTTTCCTAAATCCCATTCTCACATGTTACAGGGAAAGCCTAGGCCTGGATCTGAGGAGTATACAGCATTATAGCAGTTATCAGATAACTAGGAAACTTGCAACATTTACACCAAGTCCTTTCCAAATCCAGTCTCTCATGGAATCCACTCTTGACAAACTCCCTCCTATTCATGCACTCAGGAGCACGAACATTGAAGAATCCTTTTGTTTTTCTGCACAAGCCTACACCCACGTACAACTACTGTATTTTAACATCAACTTGCTGGATTTTTTGTTTTGTCCTGATACCACCCTCCACTGCAGGGACAAGAGACAGCTGTACCAGCACAGCACCATCTGCTACCTGGCGCTTCTTATCACTTCTCTGCCTACTGGAAATAAAGCAAATATTCTGTGAATATCAAAGAGTAAGGACAAGGACAACCATTTTCTCAGGTACAAAATGTAACTCAACCAAACCAGCATCCCTTCTGACACAAAGGGGTCCCAGCCATACCCACCAGCTACCACTGCCTTGAGACTTCTCACTTTATAGGCTATTCCTACTGCTTGGGGGCCCTAGTAAACTAGTCTCCACTCACCAATCAGATTGCCACAAAACAAAATCATCCCTGTTTCACCTGCATTTTGTTTGTGTCCACTTATTTATTTTTCTTGCATTACACAGCAACATATGACTAGTAACATCCTAAAGAATTTCTGTTGCTCATTATCCTCCTTCCTTACTCTGCTTTTAAAGTGCTTAAAGAATGCCAGTCACTACATTTCCTAGGCACTGTCCCCACCACTTTGGACAGCATAATTATCTTCTAAGGARCCCCTGGGACATAACAAGCATAACAACAACAAGAGACAAAAATCAAAAGCAACAATATTTCTACACAGGTGCCCCAGATCACCAAAAAAGGAAACCTTAAGCTCTCAACATATGGTAGGCTGGCAAGATTGTTTCCAAATAGATTTTTTTTTCCAAGTAGCATCAGTGGCAAGTGTCCCGAGGGACTAGTTATACTCAAGACAGAAGGCAGCGACTTAAACGAGGCAAGAAGCATCCCAATGGTCCATTAACATACCCCCTGAAGTGATTCATAGAGGYAGAAAACAAGAACATTTTTCTTTCTCTCAAGAGACACCACAGACACTGAACGTAAAACTGAGGAGATATATTTACACACACAAGTCCTACTTGACTTGAGCTTTGGCCGTTGCCTGGCTCCACTACTGTAGCTTTGACAGTGCTGAAGTCTGATGAGCTTGGGGCAATTTATGCACCTCTGCTTTCCCTTGCTGCATAGCTATTTTGCAGAATTAGAATATCACCCAAATGGTTTTAAATTATGCAATCTCTTAAGGAAATACTGACACTCTAATATACAAGGTCCAACGAGAAGATGCACAACAGCCACCTCTGACTTCCATCCTGCCCTGAAACACCCTGGAGGCTGAAGGATCAAGGTTTTACTAACATGCCCCTCCAGAAGGGGTCTGCTCCCCAACCTCACCAATATGCGAGTTGAAAAGAAACATCCCAATACTCACAGCATGGTGGCAATGCAGAAGAGCATGAGAAACGTGCATTCCTGCACGGATCATTCTGTCTGTTAACGAACAACAATCTTACTGTCAAGCGAGTAAAGCACTCCCAAACCCCTGGATCTGATTTTTTTTCCCCCGATGCCCATTTTAGTTTTTAGAAAGTTAACAGTATGATTTAAAAGCCTCCCACAGTGGTGCAGACAGAGTAGCTCTTTTCCTGCAATTCCTCCTTCTGTTCTCCAGGAAAACAGACATCAAGCCATTTCAGGGAGAGCTAAAATTAGGCCTTCCAGAGCTGTCAGAGCACCTTGTACTAGCAGGTTACCAGAACAGACCTGAACCACCCAACTCACAGGGCCAGAAGATGAGCATTTCAATCACCTCCCTGAGCTAAATAGCAGGAGACTCAGGTGAGAAGTGTTCATAAAAGGGCAGCAGGATGAGAGCTATCAAAGAAATCCAGGACTGTTGTGTTGAAGAGCCACATGCCCAACCCAATCTCATGCAAACAGTTTCTAGTTCGTTCCCCTTCACAGGGAGCACCAATTGCAGTTGATTAACATGACCTTCCCCCTGCCCTCACATGCAGGAGGAAGGTGATGGTCACATCTTTGACCATTCCACCTCTCTTTACTTTCATCCCCATCCTTCCCTTTCTCTCACAGCATCTTACAGACACAAAAGCAAGTGTTCTACAACTGTAACAGATAAAGAAGTCTCCTGCTGATCACTCCCTGGGGCTCACCTGCCACTCCCCGCAGGCCTCCCAAGTGCCTGCCGGAGCAGAAAAGGTGGCTCAGCTCCACTGCTGACTGTGGCAGTGAATTTGATTGCCTGGGTTTCCCCAACCCTTGTTACTGTCAGCACAGGCTCGCCATCAGGATCTTAACACAGGCAAATGCCTAGGGAGATCCTCATCATCATATCACATGGTCCAAAAGACCCTGCGAGCCTCAGCGGAGCTCCAGACCAGCAGAACAGTGCAGGTCAGGAAGCTGCTCCCAAACAGCTATGAACAAAAGCCACCCAAGCAGCAGCAAGGCTCAACTCAGTGACCAACCCCCTGGTGGCAACACGGTGACTTTCAGCACACTACACCCTCGCAATCACCTTTGAGGAACTGCTTTGCACTGAGGCAAAGGAGAGCTAACCACACAAACTAGCCATCGCCTTGAAAGTCGCGAAGCTTCAAACGCCAGCAAAGAGGCTTACCAGAGGAAAGGCAGAGCCCACCCACTGAAAAACAAGAGCAGACTTCCAAAGGAAGCTCGCAGGGGCTCCACAAAGCCGAGCAACACAGGATTTTCACGATTAAAAGTAAGGAAAAACGCTTCCACGACGGACCGTTAGAGCCGTTACGACCGTTGACGCCCGCGGGGCGGCACCGCCCCGAGCGAGCCTCGCGCCTGCCCCTCCGCCGTCCCGGCGTCCCCCGCGCGGGTCAGTCGGGTGGGGGCCGCCTGCGCTCCCGGGCGCCTTAAGGCGGCGATGGCCGCGGGGGTGCGTGACGGTGCGCGGCCCCGCGCGGGTCCCGCGCCGCCCGTGGGC